TCCCGGGGTCCTGGGATCGAGCCCCACATCGGGCTCTCTGCTTGGCAGGGAGCCTGCTTCCCTTCCTCTCTCTCTGCCTGCCTCTCTGCCTACTTGTGATCTCTCTCTGTCAAATAAATAAATAAAAATCTTTAAAAAAAAAAAGTAAGGGGTTCTAATATGCTTTTCACTCTTTTTGCTGCTATTCTAACCAGAACTTGTATCTTACTTACAAAACTCCCCCTTTTCTCATTGTGATTGTATGAAACAGAAAAAGCTAAGCTTGAGAAGAGGAAGAGATCAGATCCTGGACAGTCTTGTTCCATAATTTGCAACGGGGATGTGTGCTCCTCTGCAAGCCCCGTTCTCAATATCAAGGTTATTCAATATCAAGGTAACTAATTTTGCCAAATTAGGAGTCAGCAGGCAGCCTGGGACAATATAAACAAGGAGAAGGAAATCAGATGCTCCTGGGAGAAGTGTGGCTCAACACAGAGTAGATGCTCAAGAAATGTCTCAGGAATGGCCTGAACCGTCCCCTACCCCAGTACGGGGCAGGCACACCTTCCTGGTGACTTAGAACCATTAGACAGGATCCCTCTTCCTTGAACAGTCCCTTATACGTTCCCCCCTCTTTTACATCTTCCCTATGAACCAGCCTCTCTATGGGATTGCCATGGTCAGATGCTACAAACCGGCCCGCAGAGGAGACTTTAAAAACTGGGAAGTTTAAAAATATTTAGATCTTAGAAAACTTCACATCAAGATGCTAAGTTTCAGCCCCTCTGGAAGGAGTGGAATGTGCGGCAATTAAGGGCACACCTTCTGGCTTGGCCTGGGCCTAGAGCACGAGCTCCCCCCGCTCCTCTTACGAACTTACAGTTGGCCTGCTTCACACAGGTATGCTGCCTGGCCCCCTTCCCCCCAGACAGGATGGGCTTATGACCCCGCCATTCCAGCCTTACTTTGGCCTGGCTACCAATCAGTTCATGAGGGTAGACCTTCTTTCATTAGTTTCCTGCCTCAGTGACACATTCTGTACACCAAGTTTCTATTATCCTTGGGCACACCACAGGTCACCATCTACCAACACATAAAAAACAACTCTTACAATGAATCACCGCAACAGATAGTATTTGTTGATTCTTGCTGGTTTCATTTTCAAAAAGTCCTCCAATTTGTAAATTTGAGACACTTTCATCTACTGACAACTCCCCAATTTTTCCAAGGGATGGAGGGGGTAGGGGCTCATAAAAGTTCTGCTCCTGGGTCATGAGGGGGAGCTTGAACCAATTTTATCTCACACATGAGCCATGATGATGATCAGTACATGTTAATAGCTAACCTTGACTGAGTACTCACTGTGTGAGTACATCCCCTTTAGGCCTCACAAACCCTTGGGAGTCTGCACTTCCATTATCTATTTTATAGATGAAGAAACTGAGGCATGAGAAGCTGGGAAGCAAAGAAGTCAGAATTCATACCGGGGCAGCTTGACTCTGAGCCTACCCTCTTCATCACCTTGCACAGCTGCCCCTGTGCGAGGATCCCTTGCAAGTCAGAAGTGTCACAGACAATTGCCTGGAGTTTCATGGCATCCCTGAGGCCTCCCCTTGCAACCTGGACACGTACTGGAATCTCATGAGGGACCCCCAAAGCAAACGGAGACACATAGGAAATACTGTAATGGGTTAACATTCGGGAGAGCTACTGCAGGGTGAATGTGGAAGTCTCTGCACTCTTCTTGCTTGTTTCTGTACATCTGAGATTATAGCAAAGTAAAAAAAAAATTAAATGAAAAAAATGTATTGAAATAATATTAATTGACCTGGAGATATTTCTATAGGATTTAAAAAAAAAAAAGATTTTATTTATTTACCTATTTGAGAGAGAGATGGAGGACAAGTGGGCATGGAAGCAGAGGGAGAGACAAAGCAGACTCTGTGCTGAGCGTGAAGCCTGATGCGGGACTTGATCCCATGACTGTGAGATCATGACCTGAGCTGAAACCAAGAGTCAGATGCTTAACTGACTGAGCCACCCAGGTGCCCCAGGAATTGTTGATGGTAAGAAGTGTTAACAGGAAGTGTTTTTTAAAAAAATATTTTATTTTTTAAAAGATTTTATTTATTTATTTGACAGAGTGAGTGAACCTGAGCAAGGAGAAGGGGCAGAGGGAGAGGGAGAAGCAGGCTCCCTGTTGAGTGAGGAGCCCGATGCAGGGGTCAATCCCAGGCCCCAGGGATCGTGACCTGAGCTGAAGGCAGACATTTCACTGACTGAGCCACCCAGACCCCCCAAGAGGAAGTGTTAATAACAAGAGGCAGAAAAGCCACTGTGATGTGATTCTCTTTGTGTAAAGCAAATAATGACAAAATATGCATGCACACATATGTACACACATACATATGACTCTATGTTCTTATATGGGGATGGAATGATATGTGTAAAATACGTTCAAAAAAATCTGGAGCCCGGTTCCCAAGAGACTCTACTTTAATTGTTTAGGGGTAAGACCCAAACATGAGTGGCTTTTTTCAAAATTCCTTGGATCAAAGTTCTCAAATTTGCTGCACATTAGAATCGTTTGGGGAGTTTTAAAAAGTCCTGATGCTCAGGCCATGGCCCAGATGAATTAAATCAGGCTCCCTGGTCGTGGAACTCAGGCACAGGTGTTTTAAAATTCCCCAGGGGATTCCAATTGCCAAGTCTGGGGACCAGGCAGAGCTCCTGGTATATATGGGGCTGAGAATCACTTCTGAGAGGGAAGGGAAGTCCTTTGGGTAGACTACTACGGGAGAGGCATTTGATATCTACTTTAACCCTGGAAACAGGCCATGAATCAGGAACCTGCAAGGAAACAGAGGCTGTCTCCAGAGATCAAACAACCTGCCAGAAGTCTCAGAGCTCCGAGATGGTGGAGGTTGTTATCCTGAACCACCCTCTCCCAGGTCAAGGAGGGTGATGGGAGTGGCTTTGAGAAGGCTTCCTGGCTTCTCAATCTCTCCTTTCCGAGATCACACGAATTGAAATTCCTTTAATAAAGCTTCATTCCTCTGGGTTCCTCCTCCTAGGAGCTATTTAAGAAAAAAAAAATAAAATAAAAAGAAAAGGCAAACACTCCTGGGAGGAATTGCATGTTAGTCAGATCTTGATGTCTGCCTAGCCAGTGCTGGGCATTTTGAAGGGAGAAGAGAGTTCGAGGGATGCTTAAATCTGGGGAAAGAATGTGATGTAGGGGTGTCAATCTGATGTCCCTTTTTTGTTCAAAACCCCTCATTCACTAGACTTACTTCATCCTGTGTAATTGACACTTTGTGTCCATTGGCTAGCAACTCCCCATTACCGCCTTCCCCCAACCCCCGGGCCTGGCAGCCATTCTACAAATTTGAGTATTTTAGCTAGTGGAATATAAGTGGAATCATGCAGTATTTATCCTGTAGTTGGTTTATTTCCCTTATCACAAAGTCCTCAAGTTGTATCCATGTTGTTATGTACTGCAGGATTTCCTTTGAGGCTGAATAATATCCCATCGTCTAGATATACCATGTTTTCTTCATCCATTCATCCATTATGGGCATTTAGGTTGTTCCCACATCTTGGCTATTATGAATAGTGGCTGGGTATTATGAATAAGCTACGTCTGTAAGATTTATTGAGTGCTTACTTACTATATGCCAGGAACTGTTTTGAATGCTTTACATATGTTAGTGCAAGTGAAAGTCACTACAGCCCTACGAAGTCTTTATCCCCACTTACAGATGAGGAAACCGAGGTCCAATTAGTTTGGCCCAAAGTCATAGAATTAGTTAGTAGGTTGTAAACTGGAGTTTGAACCCAGTACAATCAGGCTCTATAAGCAGTGACCTGATCACTATAATACCAATAGTATTAAAAATCACAATGATAATGACTGAGAGCAAACTGTATGTCAAACACTATTATTGGCAAGGTGAAAATGTGACTTACACATCCACATAATCTTGGGGACAGGATCCAGCACGGTTTTCCAAGAGATTGGTTAATTCGAGAAGTAACGCTCCTCCTTACGATTTTTGGGAGAGGGGTGGAGACCAGTTACAATTAAGAGTTGGGCAGAGTGGCCGAGGGTAAAATTACCTCCTGCAGCTGTAGTATGTCCACCAAGCATTTTCTTGATTCACGCAGTTGTTAAAGCCAGAACTTTACCTATTACTGAGTGAGTGAGTCTGACACAAGTCTACAGCATTTTGCCTTTTTTTTTTTTTTTTTTTTTTTGTCTCCTCCCCAGTATTTTTCTCTTGTGCTTTGTGCTTCACATGATCAGTCCACAGGTCAGGGGATTAGTCAAGAGCTAGGTGCTTGCGTTTAAAGGTCTTTAAAAGTCGCTCATTTGATTCCCTTCTTCTTTGCCTCTTTGGTGGTAATCTAAATGAGGGCTCCTGCTCTGTGCAGTTAGGCGGTGGAGCTATGAGAATGAACCACCAGCCTCCAAATCAGCTCAGGAACATTTCACTCTTTCCAGGTTAAACGTCCCAACAGGGCTCTCTGCAGTGACACCAACACCCAATGCCCCCAGTGGGCCTGGGAAACACACACCTCCCTAAACAACAAAAAACACCATCCAAGTCACAGGCAGTCAACAATATCCAGAAATCAAAGACAGTATACAATAGCTCAGGGCCATTTATTTTGCAATGGCAAATCGATCCACTTTCCCAGCATCCTGCAACTTTTATTGAACTGGGCATCTAGCCATAGGATACGCCCCCAAACTCTCCTTAATTACATATTTGTTAATTACAAATTAATTACAAATTAGGAATGCTGTCTGCAGTCGTGACTGGTGTTGCAGTCCTGGTATCACAGAAAGGGCTTTTTTTCTCAAAAGGCTGCAGCAGTAGCAGCAGCAGCAGCAGCAGCAGCAGCAGTTTTCCCGCCCTACTGAGCGCTCACTATAATATGCTGGGCACTGCGCTAGGCGTGCCACCCGGCAAGGCCCCGGGGAGCTGCGGTGCACCCTCGGTTCCCGGCGCTCGCAGCCATTGTGGGGTGGGCGCTCTACCAGCGGCGCGCTGACACGCCCTCTCCGCGCGGCGACCCGCGGCCAGGGCAGGAGGGGGTGCTCCGTGCGTGCTCCCAGGAGCAGGCGGCTCCCGCGGGGGTGGAATCCTCGCCGCACCGCCCGCGGGTTCGCCTCGGCTGCGTGCGCTCCATGCGCCTCCCGGGCACGCGCTCCTAGCCCCGCCCGCGTGCGGCGGACGCACGGCCGCGAGCGCGCGCCCTCCCCGCGCCCCCGCGGCGGACGCACGGCCGCGAGCGCGCGTGCGCCCCTCCGAACGTCCCCGGGAGCCGCGCCAGAGCGAGCTCCGGGGCCGGGCGCGCAGGAGTGAAAAGGAGGCGGCGGCCGCGGCAGCGAGCAACAGATCCGGACGCCGCGAGCAGAAGCGTTCTGCTGTTGGGCGATTTTTTTTTTTAATTTCAAAAATATTATTAAATTAGAAAATCCTGCATTTTTAAATGGCGCTGGCCCCAGGTCAGCGGGCGATTTTCTCTGCTTCAAGATGGGCTTTGCTGTTTCTGTTGTGGGCACCAGTGGTGGCCTAATTGTCAGTCTTCTCCGGGCATTTTTAAGGCCAGGAGCCGAGCACTGCATGTAGGCGAATCACCCTGCAGAGCAGTTTGGCTTTTAAAATTATTGTTAGTATTTGGGGCAGAGGACAGCCGATCTTGGGCACTTCGTCCCCTTTGCAGAAGAGGCTGTGAGTCGGAGGTGGGTCGCTCGGAGAGTGGAATTGCTCGCGGGTGAGCGAGCCCCGGCCCCGCGCACGGTCCAGGCGGCCCCGAGTGTGTGTCCTCTCCCTGCCGGCGCCGGGAAAATGGAGGCTGTGATTGAGAAGGAATGCAGCGCGCTCGGAGGCCTCTTCCAGACCATCATCAGCGACATGAAGGTAGGACGCCGGGGGCGCGGCTGCGGTGGCCGCAGTCGCGGCCGCGCACGGACCTCGCCGCGGTGCTTCTCCTCCACCCCGAGCCACTCGCCCGGCCCTTGCCTGAGCCGCGGCCGCCGGCCACCTGCGGGAGCGCTCCGGCCCGGTGTCACCTGCTCACCCGCGGCGCCGCTCCGGGCTCTGTTGGGTCACCGGGCGGGCTGCTTCTCTGGGGGTGTCTGATGCCCCCTGCCCTCTCCACGCTCATTGTCCCAGGGGGCGGCACCATCTCGTTTCCATGGGGGCGCAGGGCCCCGGGTCCAAGTTTTCCATTGTCTGTCGCTGGACGGAGTGTCTGCGACCCGTGGAGACTGGGTCCCTGGGCGGACACCTGATTCCCCCGAGTCCGGGGTGGGGAGGGGGCGGCTGGCGCGGTGGTGGGGAGGGGTAGGGGGGCTGTGCCCGGCGGCGGGAACTGCCCCCCCCCCCCCCCCCGTCCGAGAGCCTGGGAGAGAGGCCTTCCTCTCCCTCCTTGGCTTTCAGGTCCACCTGGCGTGGGGGAGGGGGGAGGATCTGAGCAAATTAGGCATTAATTAGGCTGTTCCTAAACTGGTGAGGGTGTGCATGCCTTCTCTCAGCCCTCCCCGGGGCCGTGGAGCAGAAGTTCCCAGAGTAGCCTTGCTGGGGACCCTCCTTCCACTGGCTGACGCTCCCAGCCTGAAGGCAAGATTGGGTTCTCCTAAACAACTATATTTCCCCACACACCCACCCAACATACACAGACTCCAGGTTTTCTCTTGGAAGGATTGTGAAGATTGTGTGTGTGTGTGTGTGTGTGTTTCTCCCCGTGTGCGCGCGTGCGCGTGTGTGTGTGTATTGGGGGCGGGGAACAACACCCTGGTTTTTTCCTGCAAAGGGTGGGACAGGGGATAACCTGATCCTTGGATGTGGATTTTCTGGTGCATAGAGATACACCAGGGCCTTGGGTTACTCATCCAAAGGAAATATAACCAGCCTGGCGAGCTGGCTGGAGGTGGGAATTGGAGGCGGTGGGGGGATTTTTTTTTTTTTCATGTGTATTTAGGGAGCTTCTCTTTGGCTCTTACCCAGCCCCAGTTTGCCTCAACAGATCCGGGGAGGTGGTGTTTAATTAAAAGCTCGGCTTCCAAAACGAGTAGGCAGGTTGGGAAAGCTGTACAGCCGGTGGGTGTGGACAGCCCCTCTTCAGCCGCTGCCTGGGCGTTTGGAGGAGCTTTTGTCTGATGAAGTGTAACGTTTAGAGAGGGTTTGTCCTGGGAGATGGACTTTGTGAAGGAATGCTCAGCTGTCACGCCTGCTTCCCCCTTTTAGAACCAACTGCCATCTCCCCAAGGGTGAACTTTTCCAAGGTGCCTCCATCCTGGTCTTGGGCCTCCTACAGAGACTGTGTGTTGTGGTTTTTTTCTTTCTTTTTCTCTTTTTCTTTTTCTTTCTTTCTTTTTATTTTTGTGAGAAATTGACATTCGTGTAGCATTATCTTCATCTAGACCCTGCTTGTCCAGGAATGCCTCTAATCCAGCCACTTGGAATTAGATGGATTATTCCCTGTTCAAAGACTGCCTCTTTCATTCCTTTGCCCTCAATCCACATTGACTTATTGAAGTGCTCTTTTGAGACAAAGATCGGTGTCCCCGCTTGTTTTTGCTTGTTAACTTAAATTCTGTACGCCTTATAATCAAAGATTTGGTTTGAGGCACACGTGTATTTTGATCACTAGGGGAAGAATTTGAGATGGGTTGGTGAAGTTGCTTGTGTGTGTGTGTGTGTGTGTGTGTGTGTGTGTGTTTTAAAGAGAAATAGATGTTTTCAGTCGCTGAGTAGTAACAAGGACCCAGTGACCTAAAAGTTCTGCCCACTGCAGTCCCGGGGTTGGGGGGGGTGGAATCCAGAGGTTTTTTTCTCTCACTTTGTTCCTTAATCCACAATCCATCCAATCTTGGTTGTTTGTGTTTATAGTTTTGAACCCAAAGCCTTTCAGAAGATAGCCCACCACAGGATGGGCCCTCCGTTGTCTGCCTGCCAGCCCGGGGCTGCCCTCTAGCATTCTGGCCAGAGGAATTTGTGGGTGCCAAGGTGGCCTGTTTTCGCTCTGCAAGATTCCAGTTTAAAAATAAAGATTTATTTAATGCCCTTTCAGTGCTGGATCTATAGTTTGTGGTTCCTGACTTCTTTCCCTTTGAATTTAGTAGGGTTTGTTCAACATCCTGTGGGAAGGCATTTATTTTAAGGTTGTTTGTTCTGTTTTGGCAAAGATTTGAAAAGCAAACTGGAGGGAAAGATTAAAACTTGCTTCGGGTCTGCAGGATTCCAGACTTTTGGGGAGTAGAGATAAGGAAAAAGAAAGGGGTAGACTGATTTCCAAGACTGTTTACAGCAGAAGACAGTTGTTGAATATTTTAATGGAGTTTTCTTTTTAAAAGACTTCTTCGTGGGATGGATGGCAGTGGCATTTTAAAAGGGAATTTAAGGGTGCCTGGATGGCTCAGTGGGTTAAGCCTCTGCCTTCGGCTCAGGTCATGATCCCAGGGTCCTGGGATCGAGCCCCGCATCGGGCTCTCTGCTCTGCAGGGAGCCTGCTTCCTCCTCTCTCTCTCTGCCTGCCTCTCTGCCTACTTGTCATCTCTATCTGTCAAATAAATAAATAAACCTTTTAAAAATAAATAAATAAAAGGGAATTTAAAAAAATCTGGGCATAATAGGATAAGCAGTGCATGAAGTCACCACCAATCGAAAGTCAGACTTTAATATCTGAAGTCAGCTGGCTTTCTAATGACAAGTTTATCCTCTTTTTTATCTTCTTTGAACTGCCATGATGGGTTTCTTATGTCTTTGGTCCCCTTCTATCTGCTTTGAAGGACAAATGTAAATGTTAGAAACCCATTTGGAATGCCAGCTTGAGAAAATTTTTAGGTTATTTTCCCAGGAGTAATGCTGGACTGGGGTAAGGAAAGGGTAAGGAAAAAAAAAAATTAGTAGCATTTGATTCTCCAAAATGTACAGCAACACAGGAAGGGAGTTAATTTCCTCTTTGGAGGAAAAAAAAAAAAAAGGAAACAAAAAAATTAAGTAGCATCAAGGCCTAATACCATACATCTTCCAAAACCAAAATCCTCAAGACATTGAAAAGCTGGAGAGGAATCTTCTGCTTTTTTTCCTAGTGATCCTTCATCTGGCTAAATCCTCAGCTGTCAGGGTGCTGGAAGGGTGCGGAAGAAACCTTCACCCTTCTTCCACTGGGATCTAGCAGCAGCTGTTAAATAACTTATTGATTCCTTGACGGGAGGAAACCTTGTGTTTTTTCCCTTCCACCCTACTGTGGCGGTGGCCACTAACGATGGTGGTATGCAGAATCACTTACTGGCTGCCTTTCCGCCCATCCGCATAAATCAAGTTGTCTGGTGTGATCTGGTCCCAAAGGAAAGGGGAGATGAGATTCACGTGGCTGGAGGCTAGGGCCCTTCGCCTATTTGTCTGGGGGAACAGTAGCTTGACTCTGTGGAAGGCCATTTGACTGGCGTCTGATGTTTGACAATGGTTAGACATTAAAGAGGTTCTAGAATCTTTCTGGAGTTTCCATCCAAGTTCCAAGAAAAACAGGCTAAATGCTGCCAACAGCAGATTTGAGCCGTTACTTTTTTTTTTTTTAATTTATTGAGATATAATGGACATATAACATTATATTAGTTTTAGTTGTACAGCACAGGGATTTGATACTTGTCATTTTTAAAAATTATTGTTTTTTTAAAATTTATTTACTATTTATTTTAATGCTTAGGTAACTGAACCAGCAAAGAATTTGGTGATGTTTGGGGAGCTTTTAAGACCAAGCGACTGGCCAAACTCAAGGGCAAGTCACTGTGGATATCTTTCTTCTTTTAATAATTAACTTGGGTTTTTTTGTTTGTGTGTGGGGTTTTTTGTTTTTTTTTTTTTAAGTTGGATGCTGAAAACCAAATATTTTCCTCAGCCTTGTTGCACAAGAATCACCATGTCAGGAGCTGAACTGGGCCTGATGCAGGGAGAACTTTGTACTAGGTTCGAGCATGTGCTGGGGGTTATGTAATGGGACTGGGGGGGGGGACACCCAACCACACCTCGAATTCCCTACCCTACCTCTCCCTGTAGAGAGGGGTGTCCTGTTACCAACACCCGTGCTGAGCAGAATAGGGGCCTTGTTCAGTTCCTCTCCACTGCCCCCTACCTCTGTTTGCACTGGTAGCCTCTCTCCTAAGTTCTGCCTAAAATTAGAGCTGGTAAAGGGACTTCTTAAATACCATGGAAATCTTTTGTGGTTCGAAGGCATGACACTGTATTTTCCCCCCAGTTATCATAGATCAAGAATGTGGGTATTGGGTCCAGCGCTGGATAATGATTTCAGGGTTGTTCCCCCTGCCCTCCCCGCACTGCTCTGGCTTTGGGGTTTCTGTCAGACGAGAGGCTCCCTTCCTCAGTGTTTATCGAGGGCCTGCTATGTGGAAGGTCTCTCTTGCTGGAGAGCGACGAGCCAGAGAACCAGCAAGGCCTGCCCTTGGAGAGCTGCTTGTCCTGTGGGCCCAAAGTAGGAAACATTAAGTAGCCTACGGGGGCCACGAAGGAAGGGCATAGATTAGTTTTTGAAGGACTTCCCTTTGACTCTTCAAAAAAAATTTTTTTTTTTCCTCTGGGAAGATACTGAAAACCCAGCGAAGGCCTCCAAGAGCAGCCAGGTGCTGTGAGGGAAGCTGGCAACCTCGTCTATGGAGACACACAGAGGCAGGACAAGCAGAGCCCTTGCAAAGTACAGATGGGCCCTGGGTTGGTTGTTCTTAGCAAATGGCTGTGTTTGCCCGGGATTTTACAGCTTCCTCAGTTGGGGCCTGTGGGAGGAGAAGGTGAAGTGAAGATGTCATAAAATTGGCGGCGGGGGAGCTGCCCAGAATGGGGGCCTCTGCTGTGTAGATCATTGGGCTTTTTAGGTGCAAATCTGGTCCACGTTTAGAAAG